TGCCCAGGCCAGCCAGGCCCTGCTGCTCTTCATGGGCATCACCTACCTGGTGTCGCCTTTCGGTGGCTGGTTGGCCGACGCCCTCTTGGGCAAGTTTGGCACCATCCTGCTCAGCATGGCGCTCTACCTGCTGGGCATGCTGGCCTTCCCTGTCATCGCCGCGCCGCACACCCGCCAAGGCCTCTGTGGGGACATCCCCTTGTTCCCCGTAGAGAACTGCTCCTCTCCGGTGGCCAATGCCACCATGGCGCCTTGCTCCCAGGTGGGAGCCATCCGCTACTGTGCCACCGCCATCTTCGTTGGAGTGGTCCTCGTGGGGCTGGGCGTCGGGTCGGTCAAGGCCAACATCACCCCTTTTGGGGCGGACCAGGTCAAGTATTATTTGGCAGCTGCTGAATCGCTTGTAGGTGCCTGTCTGAACCAGGGGATGGCTGTCAGTCATGCAGAGGGGCTTGCCTTGGTGGGATGGACAGTGCGCCTGCTGATTCACGGCTCTGTAGGTGTTAAGCTTCTGAGGGAATCTGATCATCCAGCTTTGTTCCCTGTGTAGTTTAAGCTGTTAGATTGTACCCTGTTTGAAGTAATTTTGGTGTCTGTGTGATGTCTGATCTCTTATGACCCTTGGTTAGCCCTGCGTTACGTGTGGTACATGATTTGGCTAAGCCATCACCATCTTCAAGTTGAATACTTAATAGCCATTAAGTGGATTGTTAATTATTCTCCATTGTGGAGTTCGTACCTCAGAGCTCATCAGGTGTCCTATCTGATATACATTATAGCCTTTACAAGGATAGCATGGGCCTTCTAGGGCAGTGGCCAGTGGCCTTCATCATCCTCTGATAAATGAAGGATAGAGAACAAACAGGGGTTTATGCTTTATGTATTCTCTGTGTACTGCACTGCCCTTAAGTGATAGTTTTGTGCCGGCTAATGTACCACATGATGGGTGGGAAGGTGCTCTCAACATGGTAAACACATTACCTGGGCTGTTCTCATAAGGACATGTCCAGTCAAACAACCTTGATCCACTTCAGTGATATCATTCATTGGATCATCAGTGCAGAACCAAACGGCTTTACAGAAAATATTTGAGACAGCTCATAGTTCAATATTAACTGGGATGTGGCGTTACATGTATTTTTTTTACAATCTTATGCTGAGGTAGTATGCTGACTGTGGATGTTGAATTGGAGTGTAATTTCTGCTTTATGAATTAAGAATTCCGGATCCTTAGATACTGAGCAGCTTTTCTAACAAAACTATTCTTGATGACAAAGCAAGGAAAATGCCTCTGACCCAGTTGCATGTCTGTTTACTGGCCCATTGAGTTCTGGTTAGTGCGGATGTCAGAAATGTCATGCAATTCTTTGTGAAAGGTAGGATCTTCCACAATCTCTTTGCCAAACATACCTCTGTTGTGCAGTTTACATTTGTCATTCTTTGGTATTTCGTGTATTATAAATTCTGGAGTTCTGGGTGAGAGGCGGTATATTAATGTAAAACATTATCATAGCCTAGGATTGTATGTCCCCAGTGTATTGGTTCTGTTTAAGCCAGCATGAGCCCATCAAGTGAACTAGCTTTAATATGACTTTATCTTGTAAGATGTTTTTCAAAACTGACTGCTTATCCCCAGAACGGTTTATGAACGTTAAATATAAGACATAAATAATGGCAGGCACAGAGCAAAAGGAGAGCCACTGCCAATGGAAGCGTAGCTGTTGTAGCTGGATTTTTTTAAAGGCTTTCCCCCAGGATTTCATCGAAAGCAGTTTTTGGCTAGCTTTGCAGATAATTCACCATGATTTATGTAGGTGAAGCAAAAGAAACACTCCTTTCTGGTTCGTAGTGATCAGTACAGCTCTGTGGAGGACTGAATTTTTCCCCTTCTGTTTTTCTGGCGTATCTATTGTCAAATATATTACAGCGTGCCGCTTACCTTGTGCAGTTTTGGGCCCTCTTGGGTACTCTCTCTCTGCATAGGAATGTAGCAAACTGTGGGGTAGGTGGATATGTATTGCTGAGAATAAATTCTTGTCTCCCTGAGTCACATTCTTGAGAGGCCAGAATACAATGCAAACATGTTTTAGCTGGACGTGTGCTGGTAAGATTTGTCCTCTTTCCCATAAATACCAAAGGAAAATATGAATTGTATATCGTGTACTTTCGCTGACATGAAACACCTTTCAGATATTGTTAATTACACTTTATTGCTGATCTCTTAAAAATTACCATGTAAATTTTTCAATTTTAATGGTTGTTCTATAATTTGAGTTGAGAACCCAAATATAATGAGGATTTTTTTTATTTAGAAGAAAAGAATTGCTTTGTGGAAAATCGGAAATGAAATTCCAATTTTCCTCTGAGGCTAAAAAGACGTAGTTTCTTAAATTGTGTTGGCTGGATGCTTTGAGAAGTGCTGTTCCAAGTGACTAGGTGGACTTAATATAGAGCAACTTTTGCCAATCAGCTTAGCAAAAAAACCTGTTACGGCAAACTACGTACAGACCAGCTTTGCTTAACTCTGTTTATAAATGAGAGCCATTTTTCTAGAAGTTGCAGATTGATTCTTCATACAGATCTAAATCTGCACTGATAGTTCTCAGAATAGTGATTATAATCATGTGATATGTATAATCTGGCACTTCCCAGTTCCCCTTTTAAGTGCGAGTGTTTTGCAGTACTTCCTGTTCGGTGTAGCCGTTTGTGACTTTCTGTAGTTAGGAAACAATACGAGCAGCCCTCATCATTGTGAAAGCTGGTTTAGCTTCAGCATTGAAGCCAGCATCAGTAGTAGACAACTAATCTAGTATCAGCTATAATCGTTCTAATTATAGATGAATCTGTTTGGGGGTTATGGTGATTAGAGATGCTAGCTTTAACCCACAGTACCTCTTCTTTCTGAATTGCCATTGTAGTTACTAAATCTACCCGTCCATAACCTGCCAAAAATCTTCTAGCTTTGCTGAAACCGTTGCTGTTACGGTAGCACCGCCAGGGGCAGGGTGCTATTGGAAATTGCTGGTGTAAAGATGGCTTTAGAGTGATTTTCAACCTTTGTTTCTTTATTTGTAGAACTTAGATTTTTCCAGCCTCTAGGGAAGGATGAGGGACCTTGTATAAAGAATTGAAGGTCACTAACTGCAAGTTACTTTGTGGTTGCTGAAGTTCGAGACTGCAGATATCTAAGACTCTGAAGATAACAGTTGGAAAACTGTGGCATTCACATGAACAGAACCAACTGTTTCTGTTTCCAGCGGAAAAAACAGATATGACCCTAGTGAGAGGGAGAGGACTTTAAATGTGGACTGGCCAAATTTTAGTATAGAAACTTGAAATTATGTAGCAACTGAGTAGTACTGTATGGCCTATTACTGAGCTCTCTCCAGATGCTCTCAAAGAATAACTGGTGTCTGTAGTGATGGATTAGAAAGTCAGAATCCTGTAAGAGTAAATTTGACTGCAGAAAACTGTAGTGCACTTTTTTCTGTAGGCTAACGAGAAGGGCAAGCGTCTGCCTTTTCATCCTTGCTCTGTTGTGTGGCTGCTCATGTAGTTGGCTGGGATAAATTTGCGGGTTTTTGTTACATTTGTCACTTGTGACTGTCAGTTGATTGCAGGAACAAATGAAAACTGCTAATGTCAGTAACTTTTAAATAATCTTTTTCCTTTTCTGTGAGTCAAATAGGACGTCATAGCTTTGGATCTGTCATGATGTGAAGAGGGAGAGAGGGAAGACGATGACATACTAGAACTCTGAAATGTTGGGGTTTAGGAAGTACTTGAGATCGTTAGCAGATGATGTCAGACATCAGATGTCAGTGGATTGATAGGCACCAGATAGGCACTAGCTGCGGCAAAAATAGGAAATCCTGTGGATAACCATTTCTTTGAAACTGACCTGGATGTAGAGAGCTGGGAAATGACTTTGTGTCAAAGCAAAGCATCTAAATACAGGGACTATGGAGAAGCAATCATGCTTGTATAGATTCCTGGCTCTTTATGTAAAAATCAGGAGAATCTAATAGAATCTTAGTACTTGAGCTGTGTAATATTTTTTGTTTCAAGCTGTACTTGGATCATCTCCTAAGATGTTGGTGTTGAAAAATCCAGGGGAGGGAAAATTCAGCAAGTGATCATCTTTCTTCTGAGCCAGAATGAGGTCTGAGTATTAACCTTAGGGACAGCTGTGCTGTGGAAGTTGCTGTCTGTCAGGTTATTTGTGATGACTTTTCATCAGGTGATGTAACTAAAGACCTAGTTACTCTTTCTCTCTTTGTTTTAGTTGCGCTTAAAATTTTGTTCTGATTGTAGGATGTGAACCTTATACCCTAAATGAGTTTAGAGTATTGCAGTGCAGAGTTACACAGCTGATGTGTCCTCTGCTGAAAGTGGCTGTAAATAACCTAATGATTACACAGTTCCCATAACATAGTGTTCCAGGCACTCGGGATTCTTCATCGTGAAAACAGCAGTCGTAATTACATCTCATCTGACCATAATCAGTCTGATATGTGTTTTGTATTAGAAACTTTGATTTTGAGAACTATTCCTTTACCTTTTTGAAATCCAGTGCTGTGTAGGTCCCAGCTGTAAAACTGAGAATGTCGCTGTGCTTTTCTTTCTGCATTTGGATTAACTGTATGTAAAAGATAGTTATCAGATATATCAAGACAGACTGTAGAAAAATCAAGTGTTAGGTTATATTTTCCTTTTGCAAAAGTTATGTTAGATATCTTGAAAGTAGCACAATTATTTTATTTCCTCTTTAGAGGCCAACCTGAATGCAGGCAGCATTGACACGTGGCCAATGACCGACAAAGCAGCTGTGGCCAGAACGCTTCCTTTATGTCTTTGTTGGTGGCATTTTTTGGTGTGGGTTTTTTGTTTAGTTTTGGGGGTTGGAATGGGTTTGTTTGGGGTTTTCTTTTTTGTTGTCTTTGTTTGTTTGTTTTTAATTAAAATTTGCCCTATAGATTAAAAGAGGAAAATTTAGGGTAATTGGGATGCTCATTGTAACGTACAGTAGGTTATTTCATATTTTTATAGAAGTAGAAGCACTATTGGCTTGTTCCTTAGTATTCTTAGAGAATGATGTGCTGTCCCATTTAGTAGGGAAAAAAGCTGTGTAAGGTTTGAGGAATGCAGAACAGTGAACTGGATAATTATGCAGTGGGAGGTGATCTAAATAAGTGACAGCTGTCCAACACTGGTAAATTCTGTGGAAAATGTCTGAATCTGAGCTCATTTGTAAAATAACGCATTACCTAAAGCAAATAAGTTGTGTGTGTTAGATACTTGCTAATGTTCATTTGAGTCAGGACACATTTGAAACAGTTTACTCCAGTGTTTTTGTTCAGTGCACTCTAGCCATGGCATTTTGCTGATATCGTTTGCATTTTCCTGTTGTAAGAAGTTTGACTAAAACATGGTAAATCTTAGAAGGTGACCTTTTTCGTACCTTTTAGGCAGTACTACTGTTTTTAAGCTGTTTTGTTGTGGTGGGGATAAAATCTTTTAGACATACCTATTTTGGCTTTCAGTGCAGGGATGTGGAACCCTTAGCCCACAGGACAGATTCGATCCAGGACCTACACCATAGTGGTGCCGTTTACGTGCATCATTTTCCTGCTGCAGTTGTTGGTAGGACGTTAAGAATATAATGAAGCTGGTGGTGCTGGTACCACAAGGAGAGTGCTGCTGTGCTTGAGCACAGATGCAATTGAGCAGAGGGAGTGATATAGATTTTTCTTTCTGCTTGGGTGACTGAAAATAATGGAAGCTCAAGGGGGAAAAGCAGAATTCCTGCAGTTTTGTGAAAAATACTTGTCCTTGATAACAATAAAATAATAAAATTCTGACATGGTTTTCTTTTCTGGGTCTCTTATTAAACTGTAGCGTCTGCTTAGGAAGAGAATGAACAATTTTGTGCTGTCTCACAGCTCAAGTAATAGCCAGCAGGGGGAATCCTTGAGTAGTCCACTGTAAATGTAATATAGCTAGTAATTTGGGCAGCTGATGGGATGTTTGAAAGGAACTACAAGGATTCCCTTTAACTCTGCTGTGCTTTCTGGTTTTGGTAAGACATCTTCATAGTTCTTCCACTTTGAGAAGATATTCCAACACTAGTTGAATTGATTTTTATTAAGCTATTAATGTTTGTCAATAAAATGCCATAGTGGCATTTCAGACGTGGCTGTGATGTGATTTTTAGTGCTTATATGTTATATATACTTTGATAAGGAAGCAGAAAATAGATTCTTTTCATTCTAAGTCTGTGGTATGTCTGTCCCTTGAGCATTGCGTTCCTCTTTGGTCACTCTGTTTCAAAAAGGATGGAAGTTTCAGGGAAGGGCTACAGACAAGGTCGGCAGTTTCCATGCAAGGAATCCTGAAACAGTCTACAACTTCCTATCTCTGAAAAGGCAGCTAGAAGGAAGATGTACTGGTGGTTTGTGGAAATAATGGTCAGAGGAGAGAGAGGCAGAAATGGATCAGGGATGGGATAAAGCTCAGCTGTCTTCTGTGGTTTCCTGGAACTAGGCAGAACAAGTGAGGCTAGTACAGGGCAGGTTTAGAACAGACAAATGGAGGTGGTTCTTCACACTGTGTAATTAGCTGGGGAACTCTTTGCCACAGGATATTATGGATTCTAAAAGCTGAGTTGAGTTCAGAGGCAGGCTGGACAAGTTCATGGAGAAGAGGTCTGCTGCATTCATTAAGTAGACAGAAGCCATCCTTGGTTCAGGAAGTTTCTCAGGAGATCATGGTTGGAGGCTGGCATGATACTTGATAGAAGCCTCATGCTGTGCTTGCCCTGTTCTTACCTGTATCAAAGTTTACTTTCATCCCCCAGCTTTTCTTTGCATAGACATGAGCAAGGTCATTTATAAGAGGGAGGATGTGAAGTCATCTTCCTTGCAGAAATTATAAGAGAACTGAGACTTTATGATGAAGAAATGGAAACTTCATAAAATGGATTGCTAACTCTTTACATAAGTTCGAGCATGTTTAAGATGTAATTGTTTGCTAATATCCTGCTGCCATTTAGAGTTTAGAGGGAATTCTTACATTGGTACACTACTGCGGGTGATGACTGTTAAAATTAGGAAATCAATACCAAGCTGAAACTGGGAAGGGAGAATTTCTTTGGTTTAGTCTTCAAGATTGTATTTGACATGCTAACAGACCTACCTGAATGCCTAATGATGCTATTAACTATGCATAGGAGTAGATGTCTTAATATTGGAGAGAGTCCATCGGAGGGCTGGTAAGATGATGAGGGGACTGGAGCATCTCTCCTACAAGGAAAGGCTGAGAGACCTGGGGCTCTTTAGCCTGGAGAAGAGAAGACTGAGAGGGGACCTTATCAATGCTTATAAATATCTAAAGGGTGGGTGTCAAGAGGATGGGGCCAGGCTCTTTTCAGTGGTGCCCAACAACAGGACAAGGGGCAATGGGCACAAACTGGAGCACAGGAAGTTCCGCCTCAACATGAGGAAAAACTTCTTTACTCTGAGGATGACAGAGCACTGGCACAGGCTGCCCAGGGAGGCTGTGGAGTCTTCTTCCCTGGAGATATTCAAAACCCCCCTGGACGCAGTCCTGTGTGACCTGCTCTAGGTGAACCTGCTTTAGCAGAGGGGTTGGACTAGATGATCTCCAGAGGTCCCTTCAACCCCTGCCATTCTGTGATTCTGTGATTCCTTTTGTTAGACTCGGTTAAATGATACAGATGGGTTTGTGCACCACTGAGAAACCTGAAGCTGTAAATCAGAACTGACAATGTTAAAAACTTATTTCAAGACATAGCTTGCTTTCCATATTGCAAATTAAACACAGATCTTGTGAAGATCAGGCAAATGAGGAAGGGAAACTTGCAATTAGAAGTCAGAAACAACTGACTCTGCAAGACTGGTGCATGGCAGTGACTTGCTAGTCAGTGGTAATGGCCTTTCAGTCATAAAACGGTGACAAATATGGTATTATGAATTATTCTACAGACTAGTTGATCTTTTTAATGTATTTCAAATTTTAACTTGCATAATTTCTCTTACATCACATCTTATGAGTGATGCTGGGTTCCTGTGACTTAATTACAAAATATGGGGTGACTTATGGTAGGCAATACAGAATAAAGAGTGATGGTGAAAACTGCACAGGATAATTCTGTAAACCAGGGATGTCTTTACTTTCACTGGAGAGACATTGAGAGCTTCAAGCAGAAAAATAGTGCTATGTACAGTGCTGACTTAATAGAGGGATAAATGTTTACTGGGGCCTTGTGACACCTCAGGCAACCCAAATTCAATTATTTTTTTTAAAGGTCAGAATGGCAAGTTTTCAATTTATGTACTAATGAGAGGCATTAGGACTGTGTTAAAATTTAAATTTGTGCTTTAATTACCAAGTAGTCATTTGAGGCTTAGAAAATGGAATATGGTTAACTGTTATGTGTATACAGTTGGAAGAAGCAATGCTTGCAATACTACTAATACATGAATTTTTAGGTAGCTTAACTTTTTTTGTTAAAAAATGGTTATTTCAACTTCTGTGGGTTATGGGACGTTAATCTGAGTGAGCTTTGTCTAGAGAAATGACCAGATGAGAGACAGTGCAGTAGAAATAATAATGACCTCTATGGGGAAGCTATGTAGTTTAGTATTGTAAGGCTTTTTCATCCCTATGTTGAACTTCCCGAAGGTCACTGATATAATGGGGTAGCTCAGTAAGCTGTCGTTTCATCAAATACCATGCTAAGCCCAAAACACTGAAATAATTTCAGTATGACTCCAAATTAAACCTAAACTCTTCAGTGCATTGAACTTGATTGAATTCTAATAAACAGGCTTCATTTTCTTCAGAAATTGAATGACAAGTTTTTAATCTTTTTCCAGGTCAAAGATCGGGGTCCAGAAGCCACAAGAAGATTTTTTAATTGGTTTTATTGGAGCATTAATTTGGGAGCTATTCTCTCTCTGGGAGGCATTGCATACATTCAGCAGAATGTGAGCTTTGTCATTGGATATAGTATCCCAACAGTTTGCATTGGGATTTCGTTCATGGTTTTCTTATGTGGTCAGAGTTTCTTCATCACAAAACCGCCTGATGGTAGTGCCTTCACAGACATGTTTAAAATTCTCGCATATTCTTGTTGCTCAAGGAAGAGACATGTGGAACAGTCAACTACTAGGTTTGTAATGAGCTCTTTTTGTATAGTGTGAATTCAGTGAATCAGCCAAAGAGTGGAACTAGTTAGTTCAAACTAGCTGGCAGTAAGTCACACTAGAGAATACACTAGAATATGCAGTTTTGCTTTGAGAACTGGAACTGGAAAATTAGAGTCCTGGAGATATTTTCTGGGAGTTCTGGGATGAAAGAGAGGCACATTTTGAGATCACTGGGTCGCCATGCTGCAAGATCAAGTCTGCTGTTTTCAATTGAATGCTATGTCTTGCCAGTTCAGAGTTTCTGAAAGCATAATGTGACCTAAGTATGCAGCTATTAAGCATTCGTTAACGTTCTCCTCTGCTTAGATATGTTTATGGGACACCTTCTGATTTGAAAAACACTATCAGCTGCATTTAATGCTGTAAGTGGCTTGATGGGCAGCCAAAATGTGTACTGGCTTTTTTTGCTTTCCAGATGGTTAGTCCACTCTTAAGAGATGCCCATGGCGTACTAGTGGCTGAACTTAGTCACTGATGATAAGAGATGTCAGGTGCCTCCTCTGCAATGGGCTTTCATGTATTCAGATTGCAAAACAATTCAAGGAATTAGACTAATGTGTATTTTGTGATACTGTTTCCTAAGTTCTGCATATTGCAGTGCCAGTTATTTATGTGTGGGGAGGATGGGAAATAGGGAGACCTTTATGATGGAAGGTTTCAGCTTGTGCTTTCACCTGCTGATGATCCATTCTGGCCTAGCTGTTTTGCTGTAACTTACATGAGCAACTTATTTTGGAAATGCATGAGGTTTTTATAATGAAGTGTCACAAGATTGCCAGTTATGTGAGTTTTTGTTGTTGTTGAACTAAACGTTTCAAATTCTCTTCAAAAGCGAAGGCCAAGGAGTAATTCAGCAACCTCGCAAGCAAAGCCTGTTTGAGATGGCCAAGCTGTCTCGTGGGGGCCCATTCAGAGAAGATAAAGTAGAAGATGTGAAAGCTCTTGTCAAGATTATCCCTGTCTTTTTGGCTTTAATACCTTACTGGACGGTGTATTTTCAAGTGAGTAGTACCAAAAGGTTATATTTTTATTTTACATGTCTGAAAAACCATGGATTTCTGATTTAAGGGCTATAACTTCCTCTTCTCCCGGTTGCATTTGAAAGGTCTCAGGGCACTAGCATTAAGCTGCAGTTCTGAGCCTGTGTTATAAATCTAACTGTTGTCTGAAAACTACCCCCCAGAACAGTTACCTGGAGGAAACACTCAGAAGCTTGTCGGGGGGAAACTGTTCTGTAAGGTTTGGTTACAGTTAGCGTTCAGTAGCTGTGATTCTAAAGAAGGTGAATATTGAAGAGGATTTTTCAGAATGCTGGTATTGACAGTTTGACTTGTTTAATAACCATGTATTCAATAATGTTAGCTACTTGTCTTTCATACACCTGGGGTTGCATCTCAGGAATCATTTTATTAATATTATGTTAGCAAAAATAATACTGCGTGACGGTAGCTTCTTCTGAATTATTTTATTTGCTAGGTAAAATTGTGGAAAGCTGTATTGGCTTACCAGTATGCCAGAGTACCTAATTCCCCATTTTTCTGGGGGCTCTTCCATAAATTTGAAACTTACCCTGAAGTGGAGAGATGAAAAATGGCTGCTAAGAATACTTTCAAATAATATTTTGACTTAATAAAATAAAATAATTAAAACGATAGCTAAAACTAAAAGTTGTATAAATTAACATAAATATTGTGTTCTGTTTCATCTTGCAGTTCATTTTGACTTAATAAAATAAAATAATTAAAACTATAGCTAAAACTAAACGTTGTATAAATTAACATATCTTAAATATTGTGTTCTGTTTCATCTTGCAGTTGATTCAGATAGGTCAGGGTAAGTGGTCTAGATTTCATTTTGATGAAATTTCTGGTCCTTCTGTCTTTGTGAGATGAATTAGGATAGGAAATATGTTTGGGGGAAAAATATGCAGAAATTGTTTTTAAAGTCACATGAATGATTCTTTGTGCTTTTAGTAAAAATAAATGTAAAGGTTTTAAAAAATCTTGCAGTGTTCTAACAGTAATTCTTTTTGGTTTGCTATATTAGCACTTCACCTCTGGGTAATCTTTGTTAATTATTAAAAATGTAAAAATATCTTGCTCTCAGTACTCCTTGTCCAAATAATCTCAACTTATCTTTCCTAATGCTAGATGCAGACAACTTATGTATTGCAAAGTCTCCATCTGAAAATTCCTGAAATATCAAATGACACCAACTCTATTCATACGGTAAGCAGGGCAAAACAAGTGAAAAGTATGTTTTCTTTAGTTGAAATGCAAAATAGGTAAGTATTGTACAAAAAATACAGGAAGTTAAGGTAGCGACTAAAGGGAATCAATGGCCACAGACATTGGGCATTTGGGAGCATGACACAGAATCCAGAGATTTTGGCATACCTGCTCGTATAAGGAGTTCACACCGTCCGGTTTTGAATGTATTCAGGTCACTTTCACTGCTTTAATTAGGAGTGTCTTTATCCTGCAGCAGACAAAGTATGATCTTTGAAGAAAGCTTATAAATCGATGTGCCCTGAGTTTTCAAAGGTGTAAGTAGTGCAGAAGCATTCCTACAAACTCAGTAGGAATACCCACACTTAACTGAAACATTAGTATTTGCAAATTGGGAATCTGAGATACATTTGTAACTTTATGCTACTTAATCAATACTCACTTTACCTTGAATCTCTTTAGCATATTGAAGGAAATTGGTCAATCCATGTTTTTCCAGAAAGGCTGGCACACGTAACTGCAGAAACAGCACTGAGAAGTAAAACCAAAAAGTGTGAACATAAGTTATTAACAGGCTTACTAAATGTTAAAATTAAGTTTCTTCTGTTTTATTTAAAATTAATATCAATAACCCAGAATGGCTTCAGTCCTTCTTTTACAGATCAAAAATAAAAAATGCTTGTACTTAATTTTTCTTTGAACTTGCTTGAAAACTGAGCTGCTTCTGAATCACAGCTGAAGGCTTAATGGAAGTTAGTGATATTGCTGAGTAAGACATCTAAACCAACAAAATCCTAGTTGGTCACTTTTACACAGTGACAAAAACTAAATGAAGAGTAGTCTGAGACTTCTTCAGTTAAGTGTGTGCCATCAACAAAAGGATCTAAAGCAAATTTCCTCAACCGAGTTGTCAGTTTGTGTTTGTTTGGTTTTTTTTTTGCATAACTTTCGGTCATGGAAAGCCATTGCCACTTTCACTTCAGGGTTCAGTTCCACGGTGTTTGAGTTGCATGTTCATTTAAAAATAAGATATTTTTTCTTATTTAAAAATTCTGATTAGTCTGAGGCTTCTGGTTTAGTTACATCAATTTTAATTGTGGACTAATTCAAGGTGGGCTTTTTTAGCGTATACCTAGTTCTACTTTAATACGGGTTAGTACATTTACATTTCAATATGTAACCTGGTTTGCTCTTTTCATTGAGCTTTTCACATTTCTTTATTGCTTGCATATGAGAGGGGACGCTTGTCGTGGTTTTTTTCTGTTATTATGAACCACGTGACTGTCTTGTTATAACATTGGCATTGTTGGACTAGAGAAGTGGATTTTCTTCTTTGTTAGAAGAAAGTGCACACAGGACTTCAGAGTCCCATTGTTAGCCTGAATATTAAAAATAAAAATATTGTCAGTCTGAGTATTTATTTTGTAGAAGTGAACATGGAGTTTTGGTTATTAAACCGAGCTTTCCTCACTGCCTTTTGGGGCATTAAGAATTGTTTTCAAGTTGTAAGTAGAGCGTTATGTTTAATTTAATTAGTTTAGAAAAATAATGGCTTTCATTGTTTTTGCTGAAAAGACTTTAAAATACCACTTGTGCCATGTAGCTGATTTTTCTAACTTAAAAGTGTGGCTTTAAAAGTTAGTTACCTGTTTTTTGTGTTTACTTCAAGTATGCAGAATTTGAGGCAAGGATAACGGAGTGATGATCCTAGTCTGTCGTGGTACTTCTAAATAAAGATTTTCTGTCTTGCATAATAGTGACTGGCTCCTTTTTCTGCAGCACGTCAGTTGTGTTGTTCTGCTGTTTTATTTTGAAAAACTTTGCTGTGACCTAACAGCATTAACAGCATCGGTCTGTTATTTGATTTGTTTATAAGTTTGTTATTTGATGTCTTCCTTGGTATGTGATCTGCCTGAAGGATGCTGACCTGCAATCTGTATTACATAGGTAGTATCTTTGAAAGCGATTCTGACTATCGCTAATGGAAGTGATTTGAGGTAATTAAGAAAAGGAGCAGTAATACAGCATTTTACGTGAGCAGCATTGTACCTTATCAGGTCTAGGTTTTCCTTAAGCTCTTTTAGGCACCTCTGCCTAATACTAATAAGGACATATTTCCTCTTGATATGAAAAGAGTGAAATATGTGTATGCCCTTTTAATTTGCAGGCTCCTGATAGAGCAGAAAATGGAAAAGCATACATTTTAAACAAAAAACCACAAAGTGATTGATTGTATGAAATACAGCAGTGCCAGAGTTGTTTGGTATTTCTCTTATTTCTTCTCAGGTTTAGCAATGACAAAATATTCCTACATCCTTGACTCTAATTACACAAATCAGTCTTTGTACAAACTGTTACACAAGTTAATGCTGGCGTGATGTTTGAAGCAAATCGAAAGGTGAATGGGAGAGGGAGGGAAATGGACAGTTTTAAAGTTTTGCTAAACTTTTTGAAATAAGCAAGAATTTGACTAACTCAGCAGAATTCACTGTGCATTTTTCAAAGTATGTGAAGGTTGCTAAGCAGGGATATAACATTATGTATCGCACTGCTGAAGGTTTTTATATAGCCAAACCAGCTTATTATTTCATTTTCAAATCTGTGGTCTTGAAATGCCTGGGAAGCATTCAGGAGGGGGTAGGATGCATTTAGTTTTACCATCATCATCGTAACTTCTTGGGGTTGGCAAACTATGAACCAGAGAGCATTTACCTGGGTTCTTTGGGGAAGTGCAATGACAGCTGTAATGCAGAGCCAGAAAGCAATACTGTTTTTAACGACTGTTGTTACAACATGTCTGCATGCAGAGTGCGAAAGGTGTGCCGCAGACAGGCACTAATGGCTGTTGGAGACTTCAACAGAGCTAAATATGGACACGGCTTGATGTCAGTCATGACTTGGTGCTCTTGGCGCCAACTCCTGTGAAACTGCCAACTCCTGCTTAGATCGCGAAGAGCTAAAGTTTCACATTTTGCTAACTCTTGTTTTTGCAGTTTGCCATCAGCTCAGCCATACTGGAGTGATTACAAGGAATCAGTGAAACAGGGCTCTCCTCTGCAATGAGATGCATGCCCACACTGTATTAGAGGCTGAGGACTTGGGGTTTTGAGATACTTGCAGTGGTTGAGATTAGTAGCCTTAAGGGAATCTGGCTGTCTTCCTCTGTTACTGTGGCCGTAGCTTTAGCTTGTCACAGGCCCCTTGGTCATCCTGGATAATGTCTAGAAAAACATTCATCTATTCCAACCTTGAGCTTCCACACACACAGAAACAGTTTAGTATCAAAAACTGACTCTGCATCAGAAACACATAGGTCAAGCAGTGCTTGTGTTCCGAGTCAAAGAGTCGGTGCGATGCGGGGTACACTATCATGCTGTTCTAAGTGCAATTTTAAAAATATCCCCCAACCAGAACATTTTTATAAATCTTCCTATACTGCCTTGGTTTGTTAGCTCAGAACAGATGCTAAATATTATTAAGCTTGGTAGAAATTCTCTCTCATACAGATGGGAATCTTATTGTCAATTACTGAATCTTGCAAATGAGAAAGGATGCATGTGTTACACCATACTCTTTGTTCACGTGACACGTTTATTTAATTTTAATTTAATTTTGTATTACACTAGTAAAACTCTGTTTCTACTGTTCTGTGGCATATTTCAGAAAGTTCTAAGCCTAACAATAGAAGATCTACAGAACCTGGCTATTAAATATTTTTTACAACTGAAGTAGAAAAAAAGTTTAATTCTGTCAGACTAGAGTATATCACTGCAAGCAAAATAGTAGGGACTGTTTAATTGCATTAAATCACTTCCTGACTTGTGTGCCATTAATGCTGACTTCTAATGCTTTCAAAGTTGTATCTTGAGGTATATTCATTTAAATAATCTGCACAATTTTGTTTACTAGATTTGAGTGGCACAATCAATCATTCCTCAGACAGGTGTTCTATGACTAAAAAATCTGAATGACAGAAAAGCTCCCAAAGGATGATGATTTTTTTTTTTCTTTCCCATTAAACATATTTCAGGATGCATGCAGAAAAACTCAGATATTGCAATAATGCTAATGGGCATCTAATCTTTCAAATGGAATTCATATAGTTTTAGTTCATATAATTTTTGTTTTAACAAAAATTAATTCAGAATAAGGATCTAAAAATATGACCCCTCTGAAACTTAGAAATCTTAGCAAAGATGTTTTGCAAAGGATTTTTTATGAGTTCTAAATTTTGTTTTCTTAGAGTACTGTCTTCATCTGCCCAGTAATTTTGTTATGCCTCATTTTCCTTGGCACTACATGCAGTATTATTTGCTTTTGTGAAAAGAACCTTTTTGCTTTGAACACTTGATGCTCAATCACAGTGGAAAGCTTCTACTCCCCTCCCACCTGCCCCCC